GTATAAGATTTTTAACAGAAACTTTTAAAGTGTCTGAATAATTTCTTTATATATTCAATAAGCTTTCTTTAATATCTAATTATTATTATCATTATGTATATATATGTACATACATATATACGTATAATTTTATTTATGATTTTTTTTCTTTCGTAACTTTTTAACAATTTTGTTTCTTTTGATATGTGTTTTTTGTGGTGTTCATCCGCGACATATGAAACAATTGCTATATAAAATAAATAATCCAATAAAAATATAAAAGAGAAAAAAAAAAAACCAAAAATAGTCAGTGTGAATATACTTTTCATTGAAGAGGATCTGATTGCATTTTATGGTAGATGTTTTTAATATGCATTAGCTAACAGTGTTCTTTTTGAACGATGCTGCTCATTTAACCTCCCCGACTGACAACTGAACGATTGAAAAGGCATCATTTCTATATGCAAAGTGAGCCAACGAAAAAAGTAGTCTATTTATAGAAGCTAAAATCCGCTTGACTTAAACCTATTTTAGATCATTTTATTTGCAAGTTATGCAGGATTTGTTTATTTAAGATTCAAGTGATCGATTACTATACCTACTACTAGGTTTGTTCGGATTTATGCAAAACTCAGGCGAACCCTTTTTTTATTATAAATTCAAAATCACGCGATAAGTTGATCTAAGTTTGTCTGCCCGCCCGCCTTCTGCCTCTTTTTCTTGAGTTCAACCACTTTTTCGACCACTCCCTATTTTGAAATATCGTTATATGGAAAAAATTGCAATTTTAAAAATTTCTCGACAAAAGTGGGTAAATGGTAGTATTTCGGCATAGTAAATTGGTTTGAAAACCTTGGACGAGCTGGAGATATTTTTGAAACCCCTCTAAACTGAGGTTCATATGACAAAAAAGCCTAATTTTCAATTCTTTGTGATGAAAATTAGATCATAATAGTAATTTAATATAAAAAAGTTGAACTGTACCAAATATGGACCATCTCAGGCTATTTTTTTGGATACTACTCTATATAAGGATTTTTACGAAAATTGGGCAGAAACGTACAACTTTCAATATTTTATAACGAAAATTGATCCATAATAGCCATTTGTGCCGTGTTTTGATTCTCTTGGGCATAATTCGTCTTACGGATAAAAAGCCTTTTTTTGCAAAGGGACCTAAATTTTAATATGCAGTTCTATAATAGTAAGTTCGTATAACAAGAGGATATAATTTTTGCTTTGTATGGCAGAAATAAAAATTGTGTTGCACAGTGTAGTGTAGGGCATTTAAAGTCGGTCTAGCCTGATTATATTGCTTTCACTCGTTTTTAATAGGATGTGTGTAGCGTAGTCTGTCGTATAAGAATGTACTCGTGCAATATTTTTCCTTAAGCCATAAATTATGTTCAGGTTGTGCTGAACTTTTTAATACCCTCCCTTCGTCTTCCTGTACTATACCGTATCATATAAGTTGCGTAATATTTGCTTCCAAGTATTATTTCAGTACTCTTCCAACTCTGGAATAAGAATAAAATTCCGATTTTAAATTTTACTAATTATGGAAGATTGATTTGCCCTTCGAGCATAACTTGGGGCAAGTGTTTAGAGAATGTTTGAGAATATATTTGATTTTCTAAACAAAGTTTCAATGTAGTAATTGCACAGTTCATAAGACAATCAAAAATGATCAAAACAATTTCACTGTCAAATCATGTTGATCAAGTAAATATATACTCTATTAGATCTTCAATGGAAAAGTTTTGTATCTATCTTGTTTATAAAAATTGAAAGCAAACGCTGTGATAGGCATAAAGCAAATGAAATCGTAATTTGTTCAATTTAACATAGCACAGGTCGAATTAAAATCTTCTTTTGTTTTTCTGTCATTGTCCTTATAATCAGCTTGTTTATGCAAGTATTTGAGTCTATTAATATTGTATGGTATTGGACTTATAAACGTATGAATTTTTGAATATTTTGGCGGAACATCTCTCGAAAGCTATTGAGTTACGTTATCTCTTTATTATGAGATGATATGCTTATGAGTTGAAATTGACATATCTTTGGACTTAAGCTGCAAATTAACATCGGTAATGAATTGCAAAGCGTAATTAATAACCTTAATTAACTGAATGTAATCGAAGTGACGTAATCTCTTCACTATTAAGTAATGTAACTGAATCAAGGCAAATTATCAAAAAAAATTGCAAATGTTCTATTTATATTTGTACTTTGGATAGAGAGAAAGAGAAAGAAAGAGAGAGAAAGAAAGAAAGAAAGAGAGACAGAGAGAGAGAGAGAGAGAGAATGAGAAATCTGAAAATTTTAAATTCAAGGCCAATCTGACATTTGGTATCAACAGCTGTGCCACTAATGATGACAAATTATAAAAACCTTATCGGTAGATGATTTCACTTATTATCAATTTTCATTTTCATTTGCATCCATATACAAACTAACAAACGAGGCTTACATGAAAAGTAGTAGTGCATATATGACTTCAAAAGATTTATTCCCATAAATTATTCCATCTAACTTTTTAATCTAACAATAACGCAGTTTCGATTAACAATTCATTTTACTTAAACATTGAGAGATTTCTGTACAGCAGAGATACATAACAAACTACATAGATATTTCTTCTCTCCTTCTACAAATACATCGTCAAGACGAAACATGCATTAGTTGGAAAATTCCATGGAATTGTTTAAATTAATATGCAACCTTTACATCTACAGTTTCTATGTTAATTACATCCAACTCTTTTTTTTCACGCCCTCATATAAGCCGAATTTAGTATAACACGACTCGCCAATAAGAACATATAGACTTTTTAACAAATTGATTTTTATTCATAATTTCAACTTAAATTCTTATACGCTGCGGTTATGTACTGAATACCCGTTGTATAATAATTCTAATGTTTTTTTTTTTTTTTGTAATAAAATTGCATTGGTTTTGTTTTATAAACATATTTTATAAACATGTAATAATAGCAATTTTTTTGCAAGATTTTTTGGAAAAATATTTTGAGTCTTTTTGTCTTAGATGATTAGCTGTGGAATGTATCGTAAAGAGTACTATTTGTCGTATGTATTTTTCTACACGATTTTTCGTTTGCACTGTACGTATCGTGCAAAATAAGGATTAGTTGTATATCGGAATTCTCTCTTGGCTGTTTTGGCTAATTTGCGATGAATATGCTCTACTAGTGGCAAGTACCTTAAGGAAAATTATACGAAAGCAGTTAAGATTCAATTTAAAACTCAATTCCATACGACGATCAGTCAGTATTCCATATTTTTTAAACGTCACAGTGGAATTTTTTTCCAAACTTCCCATCAAAATCAACCATTATGTCACTGTAGCTTGGCCAATGTGCATGAAGAGCACTGTGCATTCGCACAATGTACAAAAATTTTTTAAATTTTGTAAAAAATTTATTACAAATCTTGTTCGATTCTATTTCGCGCATTGCATGAAATTTATTGTCAATGAACCTATAGACCGTGCTATTTGCAGAAAACTCATTTCAAATATTTGGGAATTCATTTAGGTGGATGCTTCACAATGGGTGACTCACAATATGAGCGCAAAGGTAAGGCCAATAAAATTTAAAAAGAACGAAGGACTGGGTCGGTATAATAAAGTACATCTTTATAATGCTATTATTGAACCAATGTAGTCCTAAGGAAAACAATTAGGAGAACAGCATGTTGTTGGAGAAAAGACAGTCGAAAAGATTGCGTAGAGTAGAAGGTTTTTCATGGTATACGATCAACTCAAATATTCGCACGGGTTTAAATGTGGCGACCATCATCAGTGTAATGAGGGGAAGCGTCAGCAGATAAGTTACTAAAGTTTAAGTCAGCGGACTTCTCTTGTTCGATCACTTCTTTTGAAAGAGAAACATGATCACTTAAAACGTATAGGAAGTACGGACGTAATAAAATGGAATGTGATCTGCTTTGGCAGTCATCATCAATGAGTAAAATATATTAAAGCTTATTGCAGGTTCCACCAGCAGGACGATTCAATAAATAATAAAAATATATTTATGTTTGTAATATTATAAGAATAAGTTACGCATTAAGAATCGAAACCAACAAAAGCACAACTTATTACTACAAAATTTCAAAACTGTTAACTAAAGTGCGTATAAAAATCGAGAGCAATCAATTAGATGTTGTCGCAGCTATCGCTAGAAACGTCTGTCCCGTTTTTTGGGATACAAATGAAATTATTTCGATTTCAATGATATGCGTTTTCAACAATATGGTACAGCATGCTGTAGACCTCGCGTCGCAATGAATTTATTGAGAGAAAAGCAATAACTTTATAACTTTTATTTTGACCGACGCGATCGCCCTTTATATTACTTACTTACTTAAAATAAGATCTCACGTACGAAATCACCTGAAACGAATTACTTAAGCTCTTTATACTCCCTTTGATTTCTGGAAATATATTAAGAAAAGTCGAATCGCCGATGGTTTCTTTTGCATGATTCGCTTTTCCACAGCAAACCTCTGATATCTGAAATTTCACCTAAACCATGAAATCACTGATATTTTCATTTCATTTATTATCAATGACGATTTGATTAGCATTAATCATAATAGACTCTTATTGTGCTGCCCTCGTACTCTTATCAGGGGTTTCCCTATCAGTTAATGTGCACGCGAAGAGCTACGCACATATGTATATTTCACATTTTCCTATCGAAAATCAACAACAAAAAGGGAAGAAAACGAAAACGAAATTAAAAACAAAAAAAAAACAAAAAAAATGAAATGTCAAAAATATAAACATAAAAGGTCATAACTTGAGGTTCAAATAATATATAGTTTAGTTTATCAGCTTATTGAGGAATAAATCGAATCTTTCTTCTTAAAATGAGATGAAAGTTTCGAACAGAGAAAGAGAGAGAGACTAAAATATTGCAGATAAGTGAAGGGAGATCATAAGAGATTTTTGCTTGAGGTTATATCAGTAGAGGAATCGTCATAAAGAAATTTGTCTTCGCAGAGTTAACATGTATTATTAAATTTTTTTAAACCGGCGAATTTTAATTTTTGATTAGACAATGAATGCAAATATTTGTCGTTGCTGTCTTATGGAGAATCCTATCATTACTTATAATATCTTTGATCAGACTACAAATCTGTGGAATGAGTTGCGTGAATGTTCGCCTATAGAAGTACAAATTAAACCTGATGACGGTTTACCACGTGTGATTTGTGATTTGTGTTGGTTGCGGGTTCAAGAAGCGATCGATTTTCGAAAGCGTTGTCTGATCGCCGACAGAGAATTGAGACAACGTTACGCCGAACATAAGAATAAAGCTGTAGAGGAAGTTTTGGGCTTAATAGAGAAATTGCGAGAAAAAGATTTATTGGAATCTCAAAACAATAGATCGCCCATTAATTTGCAAGAAATTTTAAACGAAGAGCTAGATTTAATCGATTTGGGTAAGATTTCAATGCAATCAATGCATAGTTTCTTGTTTTTTCCTTTCTATCAGTAAACAAATAATTTGCTTTCCTTCAATAACAGATAATCCTCAGACAAATTTGTTAAATAATTTTACTAGTGCAACAAATGAGGATCCTGTACCTAATAATATAGTTGAATCTACCAGTGATAATCACTATAACTCTTCCTTAAAAACATGCGAGACTGATAATAATCAGAAAGAATCGCCTTGCTTAGAGACAACACAGGATGATTCGGTTAGACATAAAAAAGGACCGTTTTATTGCCCGAAATGCGAAAAGAAATTTACGCGAAACTTTCAATTAAAGTTACACATGACATCCGTCCATAAATTGGGCAACGCGCCTGAATATAAATGCAATACATGTGAGAAAATCTTTGCTTCCCTTCATAGTCTCAGTTATCATCAGAAATCTGTACATTCGCAAGAAAGACCATTTAGGTGCACACACTGCCGCCGGCAGTTTGTATTGCGTAGTCAATTGAATTCACACCTGCGTGTACACACCGGCGAAAGTAAGCCCCGTACGCATGAGTGCTGCGATTGCGGTAAACTGTGGCCAACAAAATCGGATTTGCGAACTCATATGCGTTCCCATAATCCCAAAATTGAACGGCCTTTTAAATGCAATGAATGTGAGAAAAGTTTCTTTACACGGGGTCATTTAAAGTCACATCTATTGGTGCATACCGGAGAAAAGCCATTTTCTTGCGAGTATTGCGAACGTGCGTATCAAAGTATTGGCAATCTAAATAATCATTTAATTCGCCGCCATATGGATGAAGTGAAAAATACGCGGTGCGAGGAGAGAGAAAATAAAGTGTTAATGGAGCTCTGAGCTCTGAGGGAATCGGACAGAATTCAGAAGAAAGAGTATTGCAAATATGTGGAAAGTATTTAGTGTAACATTAATTAGAAATTAAGTGATAATCCACATGAATAACTATAAGAAATAAGAAAGTTAAATTCATCACAAGACGAGTCCTCTGTATTGATCGTATTCAGAAAATCTTTCACCTTGTTCACTGTTTTGATAGCGATGGTGACAAAATTGAAATCGATATTTGTCGTAGCTTGAAAGATGTTTCCGTTTCTTTAGCTCCTTAGCAACTTTTTAAGACAGCTTGAGCTACCTTCAAGTTTTGTCTTATCAGAAACGCCTGCGCTAAGTGTCATCTTCTGCCCACTATGAATGAAGGGACTATTAAACGCAGATAAATTGATTCGGGATCTATGGTGATCGGTATAAAAATTAGATCGATCTGTAATAGGATCACCTATTATTTCCTTTATTGCAATAATTAATAAATCCCTCACAAATACATTCGAAATCTTACCTTAGTTAAGTTTGTAAATATATCATGGAGAACTCCGCACACATTGTAAGATGATAGATCGCTTCAGAGATGAGTTTGACAGAATAACTTCGCATTTAAATACGTCCATTAGTAAATAAATTACACTTACTTTGATGCTTAATATAATCAAATTAATAAAATTTAAATAAACCACAAATGTTTGCATATCACATCGTGCATGGATGTGTCAATGCATTTGCACTGCTTTACACGCAATCGATACCTGCTATTATGTATAAAAAGATCTATATCTATAAAGATAGAAATGATTTCCATTAGCTATTAGATATTTGGTTTATTTCTGCTTCCTCGCAATATTATCGATTTCATTCACATGATAAATGTTTCGAAAGTATATACATACATGTATTTCTTGCTTTCATGGAAAATTGAAATTTATATAAATATTTTGATAAAAAACATTATTGCAAGTAGCATTTTTATTCTAATTTTCTTTTTGCTGCATAACCCTTTGTATATTTAGATAATTAAAATTAATATATTTATAATTACAAAAAAAAAAAAAAAAAAAAAAATATATAAATAAATTTTTAATTGATGATGAATTAATTATTTACCAAAAAATGCCAATCATTAAAAACTAAAGGTAAAAAAAAAAAAAAAAAATCCATTTAAAGTGAAATTCAATACGAGAATAGAAACACAGCCAAGTTGAAAAGAATACTGTTTGCTACTGCATATTTAGAAATGTTATCATTTCGCTATGATTGTTTTGGTTAATGGAAATTGAAACAGACGAAAGACAGGATCAAGCGCATTTTTTTAGTGAACTAATCCGTTAGCTATGAATATAATAATAATAAAACTCGATAAAGGTCTCTTAATGTTAAAGGTCATGTTTACTTAGGATATTCAAATTATAGGTAGTGTAATGAAGAGGCGGAAAAGATAAATTTATTCCGTATAACTTTCAAATTCATATCAATGCTAATCTATACGATTACATACTTCCTGTATGCCTGTTGTTACCCATTCACATAAATACAGAAGAGACTTCTTAAGAGCGTTTGTATTGAATTATGGATAATGGCTTCTATTTTCCGGACACACTATCACACTATGTTATATCGAATTTTTCAGACCTCTTTTAATTGGTTGAAGAAAATGAGACTGCTTCGACGACGTTCAGGTAAAACCTTACAAAAGCATTCAAAGTTTATGTGAAAACGTTTCATTAGTTAGTGATGTGAAACTGTTTACAAGGGTTAATTACTGCCAATCTCCAAAGGATTATTAAAAAATGAACTAATAGCAACTTCGATGGTAATTAATGTAAATATGTTTAGCGATATTTAATTGAATTATTTTATATTGAAAGAATACTCTAGGAGAAAAAAGTTAATAATTTTTCAACTCTAAGAAAACTGTAACATGTTTTTCTCAATTCCACACATGTATGGATACTTCCCATCTGTACGAATATATATATATATATAAGAATATATATGTATAAGAATACGAGAATGTATATGTACGAATGTAAGAATACAGATATAAAAGTTTTTAATTACTACTGTTATTTTACTAATTGCCATCGAAACTTATTGCGTGATTCGTGTTATTAGTGCTTATAGATGATATGAGAGTGGACCTTCAAAGGAAAATTTCAAATTTGACGGAAGTTTTTCAACACATTTTTTTTTTTTTTTTGTTTCAACTAAGGAGAATTTAAATTTTTAGTTTTTCGTTTATTTTTTCCCTTATAAAGAATTTTTGCTGAGATAACAGATATGGGTGCGAACTGTGAAACCGATTTAGCGAAGTTTGTCTGTCGTCTATCCGCCGGCTTGAAAATTTTCCTTTGAAGATCAAAGCTGCTCTCAATTCCTGTTTATCGCTTTAGCTGGGCAAAGTCGCAAAGTTACTCAACTATGCCATGAATCAGTTTGTAGTTATCAAGAAAAAAAATTCTCCTTTCACAACAGCAACATAGATGATTATACCATTAGAAAATCTTATCGAGCAGTTTAACAATATAATTCGAGATAGGAATTGTCGATGCTATATGTGCTTTAGATGTTGAGTAAGGGATCTTCGTCTAATTATACAAACGATGCTGCCTGGTAGGATGTAGCAAAAGTTTCTTCCCTCCAAAGTCGCACATTTCACGCGGTGTATAGTCCAGGGCATATTGAGGACCTCGCCTAGGTTTCGTTTACTTCTTTCTGTCTTACGTCCAGATATATGCTTCTTGTTTTATTGCCAAATTTTTAATAATGTAATGGTGCAACGCAAGGCAATTATTAGCCTATGTAAGTCAATCTCAATTTATGTCATTACAATTCCATCAATGAACTTACAATTCAAATCCGAGTCGAGCTTGTATTGTGCTTCTGCTCAAGAAGTGTAGAGGATCTTAAGTTTGTAGCCCGCCAAGAGCAGTGATTCGAGCTTATCGAGTACACAGCAGCAGGGCGCTGTCTGCTTTCTTATATCCTTGGTATATACATATTTTTTTAATATGATTAATCACTTAGACGATGTGCCTTACGTGACATCATGTGACACGGTGACGCTCACAAAGAAGTGAAGAAAGGAAAAGAGATAGTGAGCGGTAGGCCTTTACCGACTCACAATAGCTACGACCAAAGTAAACTCTACCGCATTGAAATTTAAATCCGCGAAATGAAACCTAACTTCAACAAGACGTCGCACGAGGTCATGAAAACAACAATTGTTCGAAACGAAATTTGGTGAATAGTGCTTTTAGGAAAAATTCCTATGTCTTTGAAAAGTATTTTGATTAAGATACGGCCTGATAAAGTGAACGCACCGTTTATTTGGATGTATTTGATAGCGTTGTATAATCTCTAATAAATAATTAATGAAGGAAAAAATCTCTTATTATAACAAAAAAAAAAAAAAAAAAATAAAGAGAATAAAATAATACAAAATATTTTAAATGCTACATAAATTATTTACAAACATTTTTACATTTTTTATTTATGTATAAGTTTTTATTTTCGTTTATGTAATGCTTTTGCTTTCTGTTTCTGAATTTTGTTTATTTTTGGTTACTTCCCTGGCTTGTTGACATAATTTTACGGTTATATATATATATATATATATATATATATATGTATATATGTATATATATGTATGTATACATACATATATTAATATATATTTTAAATTTTATATAAATTGACTTTCTTTTGCTTTAGCCCAACAATTTTTTTTTTTTTTTTTTTTTTTTTTAATAATTTGAAAACAAGATTTCTTATATTAACATATAAAAAATATATATATAAAAAGCTAAAAACAACAATAACAACAAAAACATTTATCCAGTAACGGCAAAAAGTTATAGTTGTTGTAGTTGTTATTGTTGTCACTGCAGCTGATAGCTTCTGTTTATCATATAACACAGCAATACTGTCGTCAGTAATCCTAAATAACGTTGCAATTGACAAGTTCTCGCATTATAAATGCCGATGGTGGTAGTTTTAGAATTATACAAATTTTCAATTTCGTTAAACATCATTAAATCTGAAAGTGAAGAGGAAGGAAAAATCAAGAATATTAAGAAAAATTAAATGCATTCATATTTGATTTAATAATCCCAAAGTCATCATCTAACGCTGGTGGGATAACGGATTTGTCATTTCGCCTATGGCATCAACCAGAACAAGAATATATCTTATAATCTCATACTTCGAACGTAATCTGATCTATTAAGGGTTCCAAGCAGTGTAGAACGTTTTGAGAGTGATGTATCGCAAATTTTGCCCAGCAGTATATATACATATAGTTTAAGATGATTCAGGTCCGTTCATTAGTTGGTCCTCGGTTATAAAATAATAAAAATTGAAATAAAAAACGAAAGTGTTTCCAAGAATTATTTCAAAACCAGAGATGATTCGGTCTATCTCAATATTTTAAAGAATTTCATAGACTCGATTAAGGATTAGTCGACCAGCGAGTGATGCGTCTTTCGTATCGAAATTTCTAGAGACTTGTTCTGAAAGATTTTCGAAAATGAACTAGAATTTTTCAGAATCTTGGTTCATTTTCAAAACTTAGTTATATTCGCTTGAATGCTTTAAGTGCACCAAAGTACCGTTTGATAAGATTGGTAAGTGAAGCGTGTCCGATAACATAAACTGTTACAGTTGTTAATTGAATTAAAGAAAAAAACAAGTAGAACGCGGTATACCATTAAATTCTCTACACCATTTCCCTTAATACAGTTATACGTTTTCAAAATAATGCCTTATATTAAAAGTGATCGATCGAATCAGTGATCCGATCCGAACCCTTTTCAATAGTGTGCGTGCTTGGGCTAAAAAATGTCGCTGTACTAAGTTTCATGTAAAAATTTCGAAAATTTCGACTCATAGATTGAATACAAGAAAACAAGGCGGTCAGGCGGACAGCTGGACAGACAAGCTTAGACTATTGTAATAAAAACTGGGTTGATGCCAAGTCCCGCCGGGTGTTGCAGCCGTCTACACAAACTGGCCGCCTGACATACTCACAACTCAAAAAAGTGTATTAAGATATTTGTGTATTGGTTTGAATCAGTTAATGTTAAAGATTCACTTCAATGCAAATGTAGCTTTTTTAATCTTTTCATATATATATATGAATGTGTGAATAGTGGTTTCCCTAAATCTGTTTGCATATCATTATTTTTGAAATAGATTCTTTCCTTTTTTGATTTATCATTACATTGACCTAAAAAATGCTTTTTTTATTTACTTAATTTTTTTTTTGTCAGTTTAACAATATTTGTAGCACAACCGTATTACTTAACTTATTATCTCTGGGCTATTTACCACTGTAGCTGCTTTTTTTTTCTTGTTTTCCAATGAAATTTGTTTTCTCACTTGCCTTTTGCTTTCCTTTTTTTTTTTTTTCTATTTCGTTGTATTTATTTAATTATACTCTGGGGACTTGTTATTTTATCATTCCTTTGCATTTATCACCTCGTTTATATAAAAATATACGACGTTTTTCTTTTCATTTTGTTGGGTAAGTCAGATTTCGTTTTTCATTTTTTTTTTTTTTTCTATTTACATTTTGGGTTCAGTTTACCTTTTCGTTTGCCAGGATTTTCGTTTTCCTCACCGTCGACAGAGTTAGCGGTTATTTTTGACTGCTGATAGAGTTCAGATGATTTGATGCGTTTTTTGCCTGCAAAAAAAAAAAAAAAAATGATTAAAAATTGTAACAGTTTTCCGTTATTACGCCAAATTTTTTAATAAGATTAAAAGCTCGAAAACAAAATCTTGGCAAGAGATATCCTAAGTATGATTTTTCTTTTGACACTTATTTTACAAAGTTTGAAATAATTCGTAATATTTGATAAAAAGAAAGGTTTCTCTTAATTGCAAAAAAAAGAAAAACCCATTTAATAATTTCAAGTGATTTTATACTCTGCTCCACTTGTAGTACAAGGGCATATTAAGTTAGTGCAGATGTTTGCAACACCGAGAAGAACTCGAAGTAGAAGCACTTTTTTTTGTATCGAGCTTGTCCTGCTTCCTTGTGTTCAACTCACAGCCCGTAAATTTTCAGATGTTGTAACGAAGTTCGCCACTCTGATTTATTCCGGTCCAAAGATGAACGCTATTGCAAATTGTTCCGATCAGACCACTTTTTCGAGCACTTCCCATATAACACATTATATTGAAAGTCATCATATGAATGAAGGTGTGGGATGAGGTATTTTATGATGGGCCTTGGCCCAGTGTCTTTACATCTTTCAATATTTCGTGTATTCACATAGTTTTTTATTGCCATTCATTTTACTCAAAACCGTAAACGTTTTTTCTAATCATCACTAATCACGATTTATATGATATTTGAATACATCTGTAAAAAGAGCAAGTTTTTCACCTAATTTTCCCAGTTCAGTGTCTCTGTTTACCTTTCGCATTTATAACGCACTCTCAGTAATCACCAACGTTAACTGAGCATTCTCGTAAGATTGGAAGCACTAGGCTTATCTTATTGTTACTTTTTTTAATTGCTCGGAAAATGTCAATGTCAGCGTTCCAAATCGTTGCATGCTAAGAATATTGTAATGTTATATAACCTTGTAGTATCTCACCTAAACTTGTCGAAAGGAAACAAGTGAGAACACGATAGTGCCTACTGTTAAATATCCCGCATCTCTTTGGTTAATAGAGTTATTTAGATACTGACTTTTCAAAATAAAGTGTTATATGAAAAGCGTTCCGGTTCGAACCACGTCTGTATCCCAAATTTCATCAAAATATTCTAAAATGTAGATTGAATTTCCCGAGGGACAGATGGCGAGACATACTTCAGAGTTACTTCCTGAATCGATCGGTATAATAATTGGTGTCTCTCTGGATGCGTACATACGCACGAGCTTATCATACCCTTACATCACAAGTAGTGTAGGATATAAAAACAACCATATAGTTGATAAGGTGGAATGAAAAAAGTTGTGAACAAACGGTCATTATAGGCAAAAAAGTCATTCATAATATATGAATATTTAATTACAATAACTTAAGTGACTAGTCTGCACGTCGTCGAAAAGTAATCAATTAAAGAGAGTCTGTTAAAAAACCTATTTATTAGTAAACTATCCCTTCAAACTAACCTTTTCGAAATTATCCTATATATGAGAGCAAGGTAAGGTAGATTTCTTAAGAAGGTTTGTGGGCAGAAGACTAGTGCTCGAAGGAAAGCTAAAAAACAAACGACGGCAACGTGCTTTTGTAAGTAACGCTAAATGCTAAATGTAAAATATTAACTTAATTGGAAGTTAGAAAAAAAAAATCGAAAACAGTTTTGTCAAGTTTACGTCCTTCACCTATATTATATCAATATATTTCGACCCAACCGGCGATTGCTATGCTATACTTAGTAAATACGATACAATAAGTAATGGCCTGAAAGTAGTTTGCGCTAGAGATGAAATTAAAAGATTAACTGATGAATATTTAAATGGCGCCCGTAGGTACCAAAGTATAGTAAACGAGAAGGAATGTGTTTAGACGATTAAAACGATGGTCATGCTCACGATCTTCCATTTGAACAATAACTACTGCATACTCATACATATATATAAATACATGCATGTGTAAAGGAAAAATACATTTTTTGAACATTAAATGTACTCATTATACTAAGACACGGAAAAATTGGATACTTTTTTGCTGTGTAAAATCTAAAAAAAAAGAACGAGTGAAAAAATAATATTCGGCTGTGGTTGAATGCCCTGCAAACCGAACAAAATGAAATTACGATGCTCTAGTGTATAGGGTGGACGTGGTCGACTTTTTTCATTTCTAATAAATGCTGCAGAATGACAGTATATTTTATATGGAAATCTTTATTATTGCGTCCGTTGTTATGAATAATGAACGACAGGGCTCAGAAAGTTTTATTTTCAAAGATTGAGGTATTCTTAGCTTCTGTTGTGCTGTTAGCATACCATTGTCAAATCTCAATTTGCCAGTAAGAACTTCCAGTGTTGTTGCAAATTTAAATTACAATTGACAGACGGACGCATCTTTATCGATTCGGCGTCTGAAGCTCCCTTGAAAACATTCTGACGATATGAATATGCATGCCTCCAGCCTTTTGGTGATGGTTATAATAATAGTAATAGTAATAATGGGAAGGATACCAAACTTACCTTTATAACGATTGCTATCAAAATTTTCTACATAATTGACAGTATTTGATGGTATTCCTAAAAAAGTATATATACAATAGAATGTCAGCAAATATTCTTAACTAAAAATAATTGTTTTTTTTAAGTAAATCAATAAATCTAGATGATAATAAATACTTTTGACTTACTATACAATTTAATGGTTCCATCTGTATCGCCTAACGAATTTTTGGCTACACAACGATAAGCACCAAATTCGGTCATAGATAGAGGATTTATGTACAATTTCATCGAATTACGATATTCGCCCATTTCTGTAACGTTAGCTATAAATTTCCCGCCTGAAAATCAACAAAGTTAGGAAAAAAACAAAGTAATTTTCAGCCCTTACGTCATTAAACGCAATTGTTATATAATCTATTTTTCCTTTATTTTTATATATAAATTTTTTTGACATGTTTTCCTTACCTGGTGGTACGATTTCACCCTTTTCTCTAGTCCAATAGTTAATTGACTTCGGAAAGGCTTCTGATTGACATTCTAATACAACGCCTTTACCCTCCACTGCGCCAATCAATTGATTTTGCACGGTTATCATAGGAGGAACTAACAATTATTGTAGTTATATGTTATTTACAAAGAAATCAATACTTCTTGTTTTTTTATTATTATTTTCTCCACTTACAATGAACGATTAAAGTAATTCTTTTACTAACAGATGGTGGAACGCCATTAGAGGCTATACACAAATAAGCGCCCATATGTTGTCTTTTAACGCGTGGCAATATCAAGTTGGTGCCCTCGACGTACAAAACTGAAACGTGAAAAAAATAAAAGTTGAAAAATAAAAATCAAACATTTTACTTGCTCCTGAAAGTAGGCAATATTTTCATTTTAATTTAAAAGCTTAAAAATATGTTTGAATTTTTTAAATCAACAAACTGTCTAGAAATAAATTTTGATAATTTAAACTTTGTCAAAACTTTCGAAGGAAAATTTTTGTGTTAGAAATTACTTTAATTTAAACGTAAGCCTTGCTTCGCTAAATCTTTCCTGCTTACTATTACAAAAAAAAAAAAAAAGAAAAGAAATATAACAAAGAAAATAAAAAAAAGAAGCAAAAGGAAAAATGCAGTTTGGCATAACCACCCTTAGTCAGAGAGATTATTTGTATGTTTTACACACACAAATACACACACGCAACATATGCAAGTTTTCATGTGCTTGAGTATGGTATATAAAAACCGGTAACGGATATGTGCTTACATTGCCTCGACATATGATTCAACTTTATAATATTGTTCTGCTCTCTCAGCACACATGTTAAACTTCGCAAGGCCTTTACCTGGCCTAAGCAGGCCGCCACAGTTACGTTAGTACTTGGCATTTATTTGTTAAAATATTTATGCAAAAATATTATGAGTTGCCCTAAAAATTTTATATCTGTATATGCATGAATATGAACGTGTGTGAATACAATATGAGGTCAAAATTGTTACCACTATTTCTATGCAAGTTTCTGGTTTTGTTGTAGTTTTTATAACAGCGTCAAATAGTTCGCTTCTTTTTGTGTAATAAAGTGTCGATAAACATTTTAGGACAGATAAAAACATTAGCCAGCGTGTTCGACTGGTGGACTGAATATTTGTTATTCCAGGAAATCCGAAAAAAAAATTCCGACGTTTTCCATTATCTAGGTTTCGTTTTCAAACTACTATTTTATTTTATGAAAATTATTAATTAAAATATATTTTTAAAAATTTTCATTATTTAAGGAATAATAATTATTTTTTTGAACACTTTATACCCTACATAACTTGTAAAAAAATGATATATGAATTGCGTTCAGAAGTATTTAAAACCAGATGTATTCGAGATAGACCCACCTTTTAATAAATCGATTGATTCACAAGCACAAAGCTTGTTTAAGCTTGTCTGTCCATCCGTCCGTCTTTTGCTAAACCTACAGGCGGCAATTTTTTCAGATACTTTGATGAAATTTCATACATCGATGATATGCTTATATGTATGCCGGATTTGAAACTGGCCAAGAATTTATGCACGTGGCGGGATCTTTGCAGCTCCTGTTTCGGCGTTTTGCAAACGTTTTGACGAAATGAATACATCTCTAATCGTTCGGTGATGGGTATAAAAAAATAAGTTTCTTAGCAATTTATAGTAATATCACCCAATACAGACAGTATTGAAACGTAAGGTTCTTTCTTTTCATATAGATAAGATAATTTTGCTTTTATCTTATCAAAAACTCCTATATTACGAGTCCTTGCTTATTCGACTATTTCCTGACAGAATTTCCAAAGTTTTCGCAATTAAAATAGAAAGTTGAGCTCCTGATTGTGTATTGCTTCAGGAGATGGATATGAAAGTTCGCCTTGAACCTAAGCTTTACTGCTATCTAATAAGGAATTAACAAACATTATGTATAGCGAGACATTAGTCCAGTACTAAATAATTTTTTTCTTTATTATGTTCCATATGCGGGCTCATATTATTATTATCATTAATTATTATTTTATTATATATGACTTACCTACCAATTGTTCTGATAAAGTTAATTTATATATATACCTATATATATATATATATTATATATTAAGCAAACCGTTAAATTTACTTAGACATTTGCTTTACAAAATTCTATTGAAAACACTTTTGTTATAACTCAACTTATAGATCAATGCCTTTCGTTCTATATCGTTTTTGGTCATTTGGTATTTCGTAAATATAATTTCAAATCCTATTTCCAAATCTTATGGTTAGTCAATAATTCGCATTAGATTAGTTATATTAATCCAAAAATAAATAAATAAATATATAAATAAATAAGAACATCAGAAATTAGATCCATTTTTCAGTTTTTCCTGATCATAACCACCTCTTATAATGTATTAGTTTTCTCAAATGTCTTTAATGCCTATAAGAATGCTTCGAAGCTCCTGATCATATTTTGATCATAACTGCTCATTGACTATTTCTATTTGCTTTATTGTTACATCTAGAACGTATGTATATCAGATTTCTTACTTGGAAAAATAAGCGTAAAGTCTCGACATTTTTGAGCGGCATAAATAGTCAGAATATAAATATGTTTGTCCTTCCGTCTACCAGATGAAATGACAATTGCTGCACCATAATTTCATCTAAAATTTAAAACTATTCGACTCAAATTTTTTCTTAGCTTTATTATTACCTTATGTTTGAAAACCAGTTAATTTGTTGCCAGACTTCGACCATGAATTGGCAAATTGAATAGTTTTTCCACTTTTTTAAATTATAGCCTTAAAGAGCTTTAAGATTTTGGCTTTAATATATCTTTAACGAAGCCCTTCTATGAAGTTCGACAGTCAGTTAAAGATTTTGCCAAAATTGTCACAAACTTGCTTTGTAGATTGTATATATTGTACATACGGTGTGTGTAATGTGTATATGATTTTTAGTCTATATAATGACGTATAAGGACTTGCCAAATTGTCTAAAATTACGATGTATAAACGTATATATATATTGCGCGCATATTACGCATATGGTGAACGAGAAGCGAGATCAGATATATGTGGAGAAAATGCATCTGTGCCCTACATCCGCGAAGTACAAACTAATGGGAAAATTTGGAGCAAGTTTACTAGCACCTAGTGTCCATCAACTAGAGATAGTAGCATAGTAGATCATGTGCTTATGTAATAGCGGTGTTTCTGAGCCACTTCGTATAAAATTTGTAGTAAAAATGCAATATTTTAGAGAATGGAGTTCTATATAAGATTGCTTCAGTTTTCTATAGAGGTGCAAATGTTGTAATGCTTTTATTCTGTAGATATAAGATCAGGCCAGCAGTAAACGAACCACGTATATTGTTATAAAAAAAGAACGGGCAAACTTACAAAATTTAAAAGACAATAAATAGTAGAAACTTGAGTGAATTTAAATTTTTTTATTAGGAAAGTTTGAGTTTTCTTCAAATTGCTTTCATTTATTGTTGTTTTAAAATTAGTGTAAACAATGTGTGAAAAATAATGTGTGAAATCGAAAGTGAAATCAAGTTAGAGATACTCAACCCGTGTGAATCCTATTCCGCTTTTATCCGAATTTTTTTAACCGATTTCCATAAAATGGAACAAAAACAACTTAAAAGCTATTGTCCTACTGGCCTAATGGCTACTGTGTTAAGTTTTGTTCTAATTAAATTTCACGTAAAGACATGAAAGTTGTCATACACGCGTACCACTTTGTTTCAAAAGCACTATTACTAACTTTTCTTGGATTACCGTAGGCTAATGGAATGCATTAGGAATTCCTGCCGCCGCACTATTTTATTAACAAGAAATATGTTTTGAGTATTACGCGCTATTTGTATTGAATTATTCGCTAGAATTAGAGGGTGGCAAGCGCTACACTTTACATTACGTCGAAACATCTATTCGCGCTGTATTGTTTCTTCGAAACTTTTTCACGAGAATTTAACACATATCGCTAGATTTATTCGCACGTTTTAGCTCCGTCTAAATTCCGACTCTTATCGAAATGCGGATATCGACTGAGCTCGACTGAAGATAAAGTCAAATTTCACTCTCTTTTTACACGGCAGATGCGTTTCTCAGATAACCGTGCAAAAAAAAAAATAGTGTAAGAAAATACATGCCAGATATCGTAGATTTGGGTACATGTTCCACAGCCTTAAAACAATGTTATAAAATGAAAAACTTCTAAATATTCACCCAAAAAACCCCTGAAAACAAGTACTCGTGAAATCCTTATTATGAATCAAAAACAATTCATTTTTATTGTAAAAATTGAAACTAGTGTACAGTGAGGATTAGTGCATAAATACAATGTGTAAGCATTTAAATTGAAATTAGGAATACAAATTTATTTATCGCTACTTGATAACAAGTGTGCAAATTAATTATGGAGCCGATCAAAAATGCTATCATCAGTAGATACGTCAGACACTGTCAAAAGTATAATTAAAGAAAAATTGTTTTTGAGAAGCATGTTAGAACAAGGAGTTCATATAAAAAAGTGTATTTGTTGTTATCCGTGAACCCTGTTACTTTAAACTCGCGGTGAAAAAGTTGTGCGTAAGTAAACAAGCCTATCCCATCATTGTCTGAATATACTTTCACGCAGATGTCTATAAGGATGCTGCCCGTCCGTTTTGATAAGCTCTTGTGGTTTGAAGAGAAAAGAAATGAACGGGACTAGTATTATATTCTAAGTTGACCGGTTATATATGAAAAGGCAAGTAGTTCGAAAATAATTGGCAAATCGTAGCAAGTATAAATCTAAAAATTGGCGTAATTGTAATATTTGAAAAAAATGCTTAAAACTTCTAAGCAGGGGTGGCCATGGCTGTACGGGCAAAGTTACCCAAAATAAACAAAGATACATAGGACTTAATATAAATATTCCGTGGAGGGTCTAAAGGATTAGTGATACGATGCAATTGCAATATTTTATATACTGAATTGAAAGTACCAAAACTTCGTTCCATGGCGTTTTTAACTGTTCTCCTGTTCGTCCTTCTCATTTTTAATGATTGAAAGATAAATTTCAACCAACTTGAATTTTATTAGCAAAGGCATTTATTTGATTTAGTTTACTGTATTCAGTTTAAGGGTTAATTAAATATTTCGAAAGTGTAGTAACCTTTAAGATCATTAATCTTTGCCTCTGGTTTCTGTACTCAAAATAATTTACATCAAACTGCCTATTAAAATATCGCTGTTATTATTATTAAACGCAGCAGGCAATTTGTAAAATAAACGCTTTAGAAAAGCGCGATTTATAAAAAATTAATAAATTAAATAAAAAAACCACTGAAATCAAATACACCATAATTTCCCGGTTTCTTTAGAGCAGCAGCTATTACCCACTGACCATTACAATTGTAAATGCATAACGCACGAAAAAAACAAAAAAAAAAAAAAAAGTAACAGGAATCAGCCAACCAACTAAATGGGTAATAATAATCAAAATTCATATAAAAACCTAAGAGTAAAACTTTTTCACAAGCAAATAATTATAGAAAAGAGCAAAAAAAAAAAAAAAGAAAAAAGGAATACGGCGTGTTTCACACAAATGAACATACAACGTGAGTCAATAATCCAAGCCATTGAAAGCCTAGAAGGAATGGATGGTGCGAGAGATGGTGGAGGGAGAACGATGTATGTAATAAAAAGTGTAAAAACAGGAACGTAGTGGAAAAAAGCGGGTTTTAAAATATGTGCACATTGCAGACATGTAAGCGAAAAGGTCATTTGTCAGGTGAGGAAGGTGAAAAGGGAAAAGTAGCTTTGGTTTCCTACATGCAAAAAAAAAAAAAAAATAAAAAAGTATATGATTTCAGTTTTACGTGTTTGAGAAATTTCAAACCAACCAAAAAAGAGAAATATAAAAAAAAAAAAAAAAAAAAATGCAAAAATAAAACAACTCAACACAAAATCGCATTGAATTATTCTTCTTCTTTCTTTTTTTTTTTGTTGCTTGTTGTTTGCCCTGCCATACCTATCGAATGTTGAAAAACATTTTCAAAATTGTACAGTAGCAGTGGGATCGCTCATCCTTCTTAGCACTTACCTTCAGTGGTGTTGGCCAATTCAATGGAAACTCCATTTTCACGTCGCCATATAATTGTCGGCTCCGGTGAACCGTTAGCAGCGCATTTGAGCGTCACATTACTGCCTTCGCGTACCACCATATCCGTACTTGTTGGATAATCTAGTATATCCGGTGGTACTATTCATCACATTCATTATACATGTATATACCAATATATGTATATGTATATATATATATATATATGTATAAGATAAGAGTGTTGTTATTATTGTTGTTGTTGTGGTTATCATGGTTGTTGGGTTCAAAGGTTGTTTATTTTATTATATCACCATGCAGAGAGATTCAATATAGAAAAACCGAAACGAATGCATATAAATGGTCAGATTGTAAGTCAGGTGTTGTTGATTGGAGAGCACATGAATTTGAATGGGTTTTGTTTTTCAAGGTTGGTATTTTATAATTTTAATAATACGGAAGTAAGTAGAATTCTCAGTATTTGTTTTCAAATTATTTCATAAAAAATTTCATCAATAAAATTCACAGATTTTTCATATAAAAAAGTAATAAATATAAACACATGTACATACAAGCATGTATATGTGGATTTCGTAATGTTTGTTTTGCATGTTTGTTGTTGTTGTTTTTTGACGTTAATATTATTGCAATTGTTGATGTTATTATTGTTGGGTATTTTTTTTATTTTTTTTTATATTTACCAACACCGTCATTATCAACGTCACCGCCAGCACGGATATTGAAGTAATCATCATTATCATCATCATTACCATTATCATTATCATCGTTACAGTCGTCGTCAGTGCCAACACCGTTATTAGTTTTTCGTTTGTGTTTTTAATGGTTACCATACAATTATTATCATTATTATTATATGTGTGGTTGTTATTGTTGTTGATGGTATTGTTGCATTTGTTGTGATAGTTGTTACAGTTGTCGACGTTTACCATTATGTTTAAATTGTAATTAGTTTTTAGAAGAAGTTTTTACGAAGAGAAAATAGTTGCAGTTATTGGATATATATTTGGTTTACAATAGTTGTTGTTTCAATTATAGTTATTTAACCAGCAATGTTATAAGCGATCGTCGAAGCATTATTAAAATAGAGAAGAAAAACATAGACAACAAGTTAATAATTTTTATATAATTTTCATATATTAAATAAAACAATATATAATAAAAAACTTAACTTTTGCAAATAAATTTTCTTTATCATAATTCTTAAGAATCCCGTTATCACTTATTGAGAATTTGGGATGCAAAAGTGAATTCTTCGCCGGGTTTAAAGCAAAGGAAATTATTCTAGGAACTAATATTAGAAAACAGTAAGTAAGTCTTTAAGATTTTTGGCTCAGAACTATGCGAGCAAAGTAAAGCTTCTTGGTTCTCGTGAATTTCCTAAATCGTTTCACGGATTGCTAAGCGTTGTACGGAAAGAAGAGCAAAGCGCTTGCACATGGCTTTTTTGCAGTTGGATTATTGAAGATCATTTAAAGAGGGCAGACAAATGTCAATTAAGGAAGACGATTGAGTAAGAACCTGATCCCGAAATCCAAATGGAAGTCCAGCCTAAGACTGCCAAACTCCAAAAGATTTGGGAAGACTATGTAAACCTAAGCAAACAATAAGTGGACCGAGTACCTAAAAACGAATGTGCACTTCGGAGGAATCAATCTTGATCCGCACAACTTCCTCCCATTGATACTTTCATACTAATACATCTACTCAAGTCTTGTATTGTTTCGTTATTTTCCAAGTTAAATACTTAGCAGTTTTTAAAACTCTAAGATGACCAATGCAGGCTTAAAACATGCTTTCGCTGTTTCAGATGAAATGAAGAATAGATTGATCCTTTATGAGCGCGATACACTTTGAAAGGTTCAAAATGTGTTATCTATTCGTAGAAATTCGTAGCTCAAATGAAGTGAACATGACCCGGAATTATGATCAGTTTATGTGGGTTAAGGAAATGATCTTCGATAATGATCCGAGAAAATGGTCGTTGAAAATGAGCAAATTGGACAAGCGGTCGATAACTTCAATACACTCCTTATAGAGAATTTCCGATAGCCGATATCAAATTCGACAAGGAATTATACCAGAATGACAATTAGGTTGTTCGGAAGGCATTTCGGTTTTGTTTTTTAGTCAAAGGCGAAGACGATTTTTTTTTATTATTATTATGGTTGACGATCGATATTGATAAACATAATCTCTTAGAAGTCTTACGAAATGTTATTCGTCGGTTTGCATCAGTTCGTCAGTACATCTCAATATCAAAATTGTGGGAACGGAATTTTATAAACAAGTTTGACACTGGACACTGAACAATCAATACAACTTATTCATACACATTGAATAACTTTTGTCTTATTTTTATTTTATCTATGGTAAAAAACTAAAATATGGCGGATTTTCCTGCTTTCGACTTTCCACACCTGATAAGGCACGAAACAAAAGCTATTCCGCAGAATCGAGCAAATCAAAAGCTGTCCTTGCTGTATTAGCTGTAAAAACATATAACGGAAATGCAACGGTTAAATACACTATTGGGAAAAGAAGGTAGTGGCTTTCCGAACAAGGCTATTCTCTAACTTCATTGCTTCGCATTTTGTGGTTTGTATTCGCGAAAGAAAAGTGTGATTAAACACTTATCGATCAGTGTGTAAATGGAAACATAGATAAGGACGCTGACAGGCGAACGGACTAGGTTAAATCGATCCAGTATCTCGCAGTGAGAAAGTATACGCGCAGTTTATGGGGTATTCGAAATGTACGTCTGATTATTACAAACGAGAAAACAAATCTTCCTCGGTAGTGCATATAGAAATACAGAACTCCTGTTAGCGACTCATGACAAAGCTTGAATCCCTGACCTTGATTTTAATGGAATTTTCGATGTGTTTCAGTTAGAGAAATCGTGTTTAAGGGTTTATATCAATACTGCAATCTAAAAAAAACCCTTTTTTGTCTTTACACCCACCCGCCATCGGGCAATAGTGATATTACCAGCTGTAAGGAAGCTTCATAGAATTTACAATGTGTACACAACTCCTTTAAACAAATGGAAAAAATGATCCATGTCAAAGTACTTTTTTTTTTTTGTTATTGTTTAAGATAAAGGTGACAGCTATAAGAGATCTTTTGCTTACCACATTTTAAAAGTACGCATCAGAAACGTAGTAAATGTAGTATGAATCACACACATATAGTATGAATTGCACTGTTCTAAATCTATTTAGTTATTTCGTCATTCGTTTGCTTGTCATCCTTTATTTTTTGAAAAGCTTAAAATCTGTTCTTCTTATACAAGTTTTTCTATGTTTTCTATATTGTAGAGATAGCCCTCTAGTACATGTAGAAAGATGGAAATGTCGCGGACGCCTAATGAAACTTATTTCAATGCTTTGTCTTTTTAAGTTTTTCTTAAGATAAATATGGTGGATATAAGAGATTCGGTCACAATTGTATGTAAGCTTCTTATTTCTTTTATCCAGTAGTGCCACATGCCAAGTAATTGCGTTTCGACATTCCAAACTTGTGAGAAAAATTCTGACAGGGTGGGCGGATACTTTGACCTCTTACATAATCTTTACTACAAAAACTGTAAGTCTCTATATGGGAACATCATATAATTTTTAACGTTTCACAGTGAAAAATAATTCCAACGCCATCTAAAGCTTCTCATGAAAAATAATCACTTACATCTACAAAAGTAACTTGACGTGAAATTTAACTGGACCAATATTTGAAATACATGGGTTTATTTTTTAGATCTCGTTTTAAAAACGCGTGTTCGTGAATGATAGGCTTTTCGGCAAAACGGTCTAATTTTTAATATTTTATAAAGGAAACTAATCCGCAATAGCAATTCGGTACAAAAATCGGGCGAAGTAGGCCTTCATGTGCCTAGAAGTCCAATTTGTAGTTTGTTATGACGACAAAAAAAAAAAGATGAAGAATAATAAAGTAAGTTCGTGAGATTTGGACCATGTCGTGCTTGACGTTTGGTCATCCTCCACATGAAACAAAGAATTTACGTTCACATGGAAGCAAAGCATAATGTTTTGTGTATTATCACGGCAACGAATGAATAATGGTACAAGACGAAGAGGTGTCAGGCATTTTTTGGTCGGTCTTGCTCGACTACTTCTTTTTACGTTATGTTGTAGCCTATAACCTAGGTTAAGCTCGGTCATTTGTATTTGTGTTTTCACTTGGTTACAGTATGCTTCCGCTTACAAAGCATGTTGCACTTACCATATTATTTTTAAATTTTGATGAAGTGTACGTTCTTAGTTTTAGAATTTATTCAGTCAAAAGTACTTGCCTTTCTCGTACTTCACCTAAGGCGGTCTCATACTTCAACGTGCAACAAATGCGTCTGCAGTTATTTCCGTATAAAAATTTATAAATGCTTCATCACACGCAATTTTTTCGATAATAATATACGTTTTTAGGATATGTGATTCCAAAAATTGATCTCGAATAGCGTTTATACCCATAGGTAATTCATTTAATATTTTTAGATTTTCATTTACGAAATCAATGCAATTTTGCGCAGAGCTCATTATAAAATCCTTCAATTTCAAAAATTCATTAGCGGATACTTCAATTTCTTACCCCAACTTATCAACGTACAAAAATTAAATATATATTAACTGCCTATTTAGCCCGACACTCTCTCGCGGAACAAGCCAGACATTTATAATCATAAATATTTATGATTCCATTTTTTCCCCACATATTCGTGTTGATCAATTAATTTATTAAATCTATTAAATATAAACGAAAGGTAGCGATACAGCAAGAGAGAGAGAGAGAGAGACAGAGAGAGAGAAAGGGAGTGATAGGGAGAGAAAGGGAGAGAAATACGGGGACGATTTAAAGAGAAAACGATTTCAGCTTCACTACCATTCATGGTAAACTGTTAACGATAACATGTGCCAAATACAAATATTCATGCAAAGCAAACACAGCGAACGGATGTCACAGAATAAACGAACCAAACATATCACTACTATGGTGGTATACGGTTGGCCTGTGAAATGGAAAAGTGAGAAAAGTTGAAAAAAGTACGAGCAAAAAACCGATGAAAAAACTACTGCTTGGAGGTAAATGAATGCGAACGTTAAAAGTCAATTTAATAGAGGATAAAAATGACCGCAATTTGGTGGTTAAGTAATGACAAACAAATTGTGGTAACAGCTACGTTGGCATTCAACCGTAACTATGTCGGCGATAGCCACAATAAAAATGAAGGGAAAAACGAACCTGTAATAATAATTTGATTTGATTAAAAAAATATTAAAAGAAAAACGGAAAAGTTGAAGAATGAAGTATCAATTAAAATATTTAAATATGTAGAAAAGAGACCTCTCTACATCAGAGGAAAATTGTGATTGCATTTGTCTGACGAGAAAATATGCATAAAGATATACACATAGTTATAGAATTTAATTATGTCCGCCTGGCCGAATGGCTGAATGGTTCGTCTGTAGTTATTACGAACGGGTTTGATTTCAATAATTAGAGTTTGAAAAGAACTTGAACTTAGTAAATGATAGCGGGATTGGCTTTTATAGACCGAGGGATACAACGGTCATTAAAGGATGATGTAGTCAGAAAAGGTTTTGGTAGTCAAAGTTGGGAGTACATGTTTCACTTTTGGGAATTAACATAAAATATATGTATATTCGTCTGAAACAAAACATCATCCGCCTGCGTTCGAAATCAAGTGGACTCTATTTCACTCAATCAAAGTCGCTATAAATTTGCTACTGCTTTTGGTCATACTTGGATTACCTTGAAAAGACTGAAAGGAATATTCATTTTTAGATATTCAAGAATTCATAGAAAATTTTAACTCTTTGTAGCCGATATTGTCATAGTGGCGACATTTGCAAGACTCCGTAGAAGTGGATCTGGCAATTATTTTAATTTATTTATATATTCATTTGCAATTACTTTAACTTGGTTACAAAGATTTGAACCAATGATCGCGTAAGAGCAAATGTAGGTTTTAAGGAGTAAAAATTTTATTACTTTCATAGTAATTCACGCAATAAAAATCTTATATTAAACAGTTAGGGTAGAGCTATCCAGTAGCCATTTGCAACCGATACTAGGCATAGCTGGTTGGTTTCGTGAAACATGAAGCCCTCTATTGCGTGTATTAAGGAGCACTAACCTGACGTTCTTTGATGAGCTCGATGTTGAGATTAAATTGTAGACACAGTTTAAATTTTTGCAAAGAAACCTAAGGAACCTAAGGAGCCGGTTTAAAAAGCTCACAATTATGTCTACATTCATCAAGTTTCATGAATATGAAATTTCTCGCAGAACCATTAGAAACATTATAGAGAACATTATCCTTCCTAATAAGGCTGGCTAGCCAATATCATTATGTATGAACCTACGCTAATCAAGTCAGGGAAGGGCTAACAGCGATAATCTATTTTCATATAATGTCAAACAGACTGTCGGATCCCATTCCAAAATCCCTCAGCACCAAACGCAGGAATCGCTTCCGAACTGATTCTATTGCATCAATTCTTTAGGAAGGAGACCACACAACAAGGGCATGTATTGGCTTCGATGAACTTATGCATAACCTTTTTGTAACATAAGGATCATCGAATTCTCTGGACCATCTTTTGAGAAAGCCAAGAGCAATCCTTGCTTTATTTATGGCAAGCTCAATATGCAAATGGGAACGTAACACTTGGTGGAATACCAAACGAAGTCATGAAACAAATTTATGTCATTTATAATATACATAGAAAGCAAAAAGCTCCAGATTCTTTTTTAGTTTAGCGGTGCGAGAAAAAGCACAGTTACCCTCTCTCAGTAAAATGAACATAATACTAAGGCAAACGCATACGGCTAAGGCAGAAATAAGCCTGAAGAGCTAAATTTGCTTCGACAAGCTGCTACGCCAATTAGACAATTTTGCCAACCGCAAAGGATAAATACTGCGTGCTTAAAAGATGACAATGAAAAAAAGGATTTAAGGTTTTTGCTTTACTTTTCAAAATACTTTTGTCCCCTCAACCCTAGTGGTATTATTAACGAATTGGTTTGTTGAAATTAATAAGTGAATAAGTGAAGAACGTAAGTGCTCTCGTCAATTTCGTACGATTTTTACAGTCTTCCTTACAGTCTTCTTAAACGAAAGGGTTAACTTGGCTAAGTTGGCTTGCAATCATTGTTAATATCTAAGTTATACTCAAATAAAAATAAAAAAAAAAAAAAAAAAAGTGGCAAGTTAGTACTTTATGCCTTTATCGTACTTACCGACTACATCCAAATAACCCATTTGGCTTTTCATGGGATCCGTATTAATTTGACACATATACCAGCCTTTATCGCTTTCCTTTATATCCTTAATACGCATCGTCCATGTCTTGTGCTCCGAGTTAGTGATGCCAATGCGTTGATTTTTAGTAATCACATGATTTTGTATCGTCAAAATGGTTTGAGTGTCAACCCGTAGCCACGCTACCTTAAGAGAAGCATAAACGAAACGAAATGTAGAGTAAATTAAAACATCCGCCGTTTATTTCTTCTCACTCTGCCATCTAAGCTGTGCACAATACAAACTAGATTTTTTTGGTAATATATTATTCATTATAATCTGACGATAACAAAACTCCTACACACATTAGCTTAACTATAGTTTTCCTTTTCCTTTGAATTAAGCACGCACTTTATGCCACACGCATACACTCGCACGCATCTATACTCTTCATACTCTCCATTCTGCTTCTTAGTTTTTCGTCTCTTTCTTTTCTTTTTCTTTGCTCCTTTTTTTTTGTTGCCATGTTTTTCATTGAAATCTTGATAATCTTGATACCATAAATATTTTATACGTGCATTACTTATGCATACATGCGCTTTTATTTATATTTACCGTTGGTTTACATATTGTAGCTACAACTACTGCGTGTCTTTTAGCAGTTTACCTGTACATGTGCTTACGTATGTATGTAGATAAAAGTATGCTTGCATATACTGTATGATTGATTGTAATAATTTTTTTCCTATATATTTTATGTATTTATTTAACATAAATCAAGTACAATGAGTCTTCAATTTATCGCATGTTACTTAAACGTATCACAACACATAATGTGTTTCATATAGTCTCAGTAGATTAAATGCTTTATAAGGTGTAAATGTGTTAGTGCAAGTGTTATGACACCGCTGAGATTGTTGCCGTGAGTGAGTGTGTGTGTGTCTCTTTTATATTATTAGGTCAGGTGAGAGTCACACATTATCCATAACATGATTGTACAAACTGCATTAAAGTACTTATAAACTCATTATAAGTAAATGAGAAAACCTTGAATGCGTTTAATGTGAATTTAAATCGATACTAAATGAATTTCAATTATAGGCGTAACTTTCTCGGACTCATTTCAGTTGATTTATTTACTTGTACGCAACCTGTGAATAATTGTTATTTTTTAAGTCATCAATTTTCATTGTTTTTGTGTTATTTCTATACGTGCCAGTCGGTGACGAAGGTCGGCGGTATAACAGATCGGAATTGTTATTTACGACGATCAGAAACAATCGTTGGAAATCACAGAAAGCGATATAATTTTCCGAGCCAATTTAATACTACACGTCTTTCTACCTAGCCGTCTCTTTCCCGCTGTCCGCGTGTCAGTCATCTGTTGCTGGAGCCATAGTACTGAAATTGAAATGAAGCTGGAGGTGCTCTTTGGTCTACACATTCTTTATTGGTGGCCGTTATCAACATTTGCTCAGCAACATTTGCTCAGTCTTCCCGTAAGACCATCCTTATCCATTCCAGGACAAACCATGACTCTTAGCTTAGTATTGAATGTAATATATTATCGTTGTTGTTATCAAAGACATTATCAACCAGGTTATAGCGTCTGTTTGGCGAACTGTCTCTAATTTGAGTAGAAATTTTATTGGAAATGTTTATGAGAAGTTACTTTCGCTGTGCAAAAACTTATTCCCGCATAATCGTTTGACTAAACATAGCCATATTTTAAAGGGATAGATTTTGCATTTAGTCTGACGAATCTCTTCATTGTTGGTGTATAAGACGCCAAGAAGACCAGTCATATCAAACGGCGATAACGCAGCCGCCGGTATAACAATGTAAAGCCTTCTGCCGGGATTATGCGCAATTCTTGAAAAAGCTTTAAATGACTTTATCTAGACCTTTTTCAGGTTATAGCATTGTACCGTAGAATCCTTTTAGGTCAGTTCTTCAAAAAATATTGTATAGCTAAAGGTATGTTTCCGGTAAATATTATTGTTTTATTATCTTTCCCGGCAAAAGAAACTGTCGGAAAGGGCTTTTTTTACGGCTTCTACAGACCTGTTATTCCTTAAAGGATACCACAATAAGCTTTATATCAAATCAGTAGAACGTACTATAGTTGCTTGGATTCATTGTGGACCCATCAAAAGAAGAAATAACGGATAAAAACTTAGATAGGCTATATAGAGATGTGTCAAATAACACATCACTCAATAAGTCTCCTAAAAGACACACATACGCCATCATTGTTGATAAGCTTATACGATTTCAGTGCCAAGTTTCAAACGATACCCGCCAAAATTTCATGACCTTCGCTGATGCCGCTTTTGTAATTTTCAAAACAATGAGAAAATCTGAATGTCGTTTGTTTTTTGATGGGAAAAAAGACATTTATTGTTACCGTTGGTTTGAAAAATGTCACGACGACTCTTGTTTGCCGAAAAAATAAATTTCTGGGTGGTTTGCTAATTTTTAACACAGCCGTATGGACATCGAGGATGCTGAACGTCCGAATTCGCTTGTTGTTCTAGAAAACGTGAAGAAAGAGGTCAAAATTGTTTCGGAAGATCGTGAATAGAAATTACGTAAGATAGCTGACACATTAAAGATATCAAAAGGCAGAATATTTACTAATTTTTATGAACATATTTCCATGAGTGCCGCGTTTGGCCACTTTCGACAGCAATGTGCTGATGGGTCAGAGCGTTGTTTGTTGCTAATATAGTATGTAATATAATATAATATACAATATGTGAAAATGAATGAAGCATAAGTTCATTATTGACAGTCCAGAGCCCAATCGGCAATTGCCAATCGACAATTGGCCGAGTAGATAGCAACTAGCGAAAGCCTTCCAAATCGATCGAAAAAGTTGTGCAGGTTAGCAAAGTCTTACTTGGAAATTAATGGTCGAAATGTGAGGAAATTTTGGCATATTGTTTGAAGGTTGGTTCGTTCCAGAAATCATATGATTTTGTCAGCATTGCTGTTATGCATGTGTCTAAGCGAAGAGCTACTAAACCTTCAACCGTTTCGGCAGAAGTAGTCCGCATTTCCTTTCACAAGTTCAAGTCTATTTACATATTCAGACAAAGCGGTATAACTCACACAATACGTTCAATAGAATAAATGCATCATTTTTATTTTGCTTTTTTATCAAAACATAAAGACTAGGGTGTGCGTAATGCGTTTGAAGCTTTTCTTTGCTTTGTTGTTATATAATTCGAAGCATCACTTTTAGTTAATCAGAATGTTTAATTAACACTTATTATTCTGATTTTTTTTTTTTCTTTTTTAATCTTTTATAGTACAACATCAACACCACACCACACACTTGTGTATGATTTTTGTTTGAATTCTTGCATTGCCTGGGCATTTACAAGTACAACGGAAATAAAGAAAAAAGTACAAAGAAAAAATAAATACTAAATACAAGTAAACAAAAAAAAAAAAAAAGAAAAAAAACTTAAAAACAAGAAACAAAAAACCTTAAAAACATATGTAAAAGGGAAGTAGACGTTTCAATAGAATAAAGCAATCAACCCACAAATATTCATGACGAGTCTGCGAAAAGTGAGTGAAACAACAATGAAATTCTTTGTTGCATATAACATTTCATGTATTATTTCAACCCTATGCCATTCTTTCTCATAAATATTACATCAACAAATTTTAGTTAGTAATCATCATCGTTATCATCATCATCATCATCATCATAATCATCATCATCAACATTATCATTACACAGCAATACACTTAAGAATATATAAGTAATTAATCCAAAGAGTTTGCACGATTAACTTTCTCTTTAAGTAATCACAAGCAGACAAATAAACAAATTGTTGAGACATTTTCAAATTCTTTTCCTTTTGGGTTATTTTTAATGCAGATCTAGGCAATCATATAAATGAAGTGAAAATAATACACAAAAGTGTGGTGTGCGCAACTTTTCGTTTCTTAAATAAGTTTGCTTGTATTACTTTCTTCATACACTTAAGTAATAAAAGTCAACAATATGTTTTATGTTCTGCTGCCTTTGGTTTTGCTTTGCTTGTGCGTGCCTTAGTTATAAAGTTTTTACCGTTACTAAACATTCAATCTAATTAATTAAACGATGTTTGGAATTAGGCCGCAAAAACTTTCATAATCCAATGACTAAACTCCGAGTGGACAAACTGGCATTTTTTAGAGAGAAATAAATTAAAATATCGCGGTCGGGCATGGGCAGTTCGCCCATATACTATCATATACTATATATCTATATACTATATATATCTATATACATACAATATAATATCATATACTATCGGGCTTGTTAGAATCAAAAGCTATGAGTTTGATAAAAATTATTAATTTTAAAAAATAATAAAAAATAAAAGTCTATACAAAAAATAGGAAGGGTTTCGCTTAAGTTTATCTTACTCATTATTAGTCTTCTTTTATTAAAGAACTTATTATTCTGCGCCACAAGTGTGTATTAAGTTTATGCGAAAGTATGCAACACGCAGAAGCACTTGAGAGAGATCCATGCTGACGTTTTTTGGTCCAAGCACGAAAGCTATTAAAAATGGCTCGGATTGAACCAATTTTTCGATCACTAGCAAAATGAAGCCTTATATGAACAACTGTATGAAACGAGGTGATGAAGGGTGGTCCATAGCTCGCTATACTGTTTTCATTTGTTATCATTATCAAATATTAAAAGTTCGCTTTCGTTGCCTTATGTAGAATTTCACTTTTCCTTAGAACGTCAGTAAGGGAAGGAGTGCGAAAAATAGAACAATGAAGTCCAAATTCAGTAAAGTGAATTAATCTGTCAAAATATTTTGCTGTAAAATTATAATTCGTATAAAACTTTCCTTTTTCTAAGAACGATTACTTAGCAGGAGGATCAGAAAATCTTCCTTTCTCAACGAAATTTTTTACATATATTGAGAACAATTTGTGGATTTTGGTTAAGACAAACTAAAAAAACGGCGCCTCTTACGAATAGCGGTTGTCAACGTTGTTCCGGTCCGAAACATTTTCGATAGGCTGCAGCCCTGCGACGAAATATGTTGTATGTCAATGTAATTTCAACAAAATATCTAGAAAACTTTCATTTGTATCATTTGAACAGGGGCAGATATGGAACCAAATCATAATAATATCATTTAATCATGTCATCGTGTAATATCATAATAATATCATTTCGAGCCATTGCGCCTGTTATAAAGTTCCGAACAGACTTGTTGCATACTTTTACCGCAAGTAATGTAGAGTAAAATCAGAGGCCATTTACGCTTCAATATGTATAATAAATAAACAAGTAATAGCAAGGCCTGCCTCTCGTCACTCGTACTTTGCAAAGAGGCATCAATATGAAGTTAATGTTTTTGTCAAGGGCCTTATTATTGTTCACCTATTTTTTTTTTTTTAAAGTAGAAATAACAGATTTGGTTGTCTGGGGTGGTGTAAAAAAAAACCAACGTGCCCGACCTCAATTTCCTACAGTTGATTTCCATCTGAAATTATTATTATGAACCATTTGTCACTTTGAAACATTAGAAAATAGAACATTTGCCCACTGTTCGTGGGAACGGTTTTATGAGGAGTTCAAAAGATCAGTCCATACAATCTAAATTTTTCCTTATTAATTAAATTAATTAATATGCCGAAATGCCATTACTTAAGGGACTTTATAGACAAATTTTGAAAATTGTAATTTTTTTCATATGACTGCTCTTTAAAAACGGGTGGGAAGTGTTTGCAAAGGAAATCCGAAATATTTTCAGCACAACTTAGCGTACCAAATTTTGTTAAAATAATTCTAAAATTTGCGATCGGTAGGTGGAACACAATATTACATCAAACGCGCCTCAATTCGCTCAGAATTTCTGACTCTAAGTTGGACATGCCTCGAACCATTCTAGCTGCTACGTACGTCCACAAACAGTTAATATCTGTTCCAAAAGTGTTGTAGGGTATATATAGTGTAGTTAAGATTTCGGATGTGTCGTAATAATCAAGATTTTGTTTTTTTTTTTTTATTAACAGCGATTTTGCCAACAGATCGATTGAAATCACTTTTAAGCAATGAATGTTAATATCGTTCATTAAAAGCCTATGAAAATATTTCCAACGATTTTCGAAAATTATTCGAAACTGTTTTTTTTCCATTCGGTACCGTGATCGCGTTACATCTTTTATATATGATGACTGTTGAGTATTTCACTAAAAATATTATATATGGTTAAGTTATATACATATATATACAAGATAAGATAAGATGGGGTTAAGATACATATACAACAAAGAGCCAACAAGGCAAAGTTTTCGTCTGCTATATCTTCATCTTCCGATAATAAGCATAAAAGATTTCATAACTTTTCGTTTAATTATTTTTATGATAGCAATTCATGCTATAAATGTTTTTTTATATATATAATTTTCATAATAAGAAATCGATAGGAGAAGCTTGCTAGTCGCAGATTCGCGTGCTCCACTGCTGGTAAATTCAATTAAGATAGAATGAAGCAACAGGTCTTTTTAATGTATTTAAGAAGCGAGTTGCGGTTAATTTTGGAAGCATTTATCCCCCAAGTTTTGAATTAATTTCTTCTTTTTTTCTTTTACTTATTATAATTTGTTGTACGGTTGTTTTCTTTATCGCCAAAGTGAAGATGCTAGACACTCATTTCGAGCATAAGTCAAGCTTTTAAAACATGGTTAACAATTTCGGCGACAAGTGCAAATTTGCTGGTACGAAAGCTACTGCTGATAAGCAACGTTTATGAAACAACGAATTTAACTATAATCATTAACCCTAAAGTAGTCAAGTTAAGGTTTTCTTAGGGTCTGTTAGATTCGTTTTTTCATCCCTTGCATGATTATTGCGAAGGACTTATTATATGACTAATTAGTCTTTTTCTTGAAGTTACTAACGAATCGCTTGTTGATTCCGTTTAAACATGTCTTGCCATCGACGAGTATGACTCTTATCCGAAAAGTGTGGAAAAATAGCGATTAGCAATGGACGTTATTATCAATAGCCTATTATTTGTGTATTCATTAAGAAAGACGGAAAGGGAATTAAATCACTTGTCTGAATATTGTACGATATCTATAAAGAGAGAGACAGCAATAACCAAAAAATATTATTATTATCTGTTGAAACATTTATTTTCATCAAAGTTTCATGCCTTGCGTATCGTAAGTGTAGATGAGACAAGAAATAGTTGAACTTCCTTTCTAGTAATCTATGAAAATTTTGAAAGTTTTTACATGACCAATTGGAGTGGGTGGAAGGTGTGATTCCAAACACATTCCAAGCTAGAACTTAATAATGTATTTTATCGATGTCAATATACAAAAGTCAGTTTGCAGTCATCATGGTCGAGCTTTCATAAAGGTATTTCAAAGCTTACAGATGTTGTTCATTTATCAAAGTTTATACATACAACCAAACGTTTAGATGTCGGTATAAAAATTTAACAGCAATTAACACGTGCTTACTTGCTTGCTATGTAAATTTTGTCATACCTACATATGCACGCGAACGAAGTATTCGATCGACGTTGTGATTATAACTTACTGACTTTCGTTTATATATAACATATAATAAAAAAAAAAAAAAAACAAAAAAAAATTATTTAACTATTAATTTGAAAATAAATGTATTTTTTTTTTTTATTTTTAATTTTTATTTTTTTTTTTTTTTTTTTTTTTTTTTCGAAGCTCCATTTAAACGCATTTTCATTGTTTTTGTTGCTTTAATTCTTCTGTTTGTTGTTATTATCACCATTTATATTATTACATTTAATTATCTCTCTTTCTGCTTTTGTTTGTGGTTAATTAAATGAGTTTCGTTCTTTTTTTTTTTTTTTGTTTTGTTTTCATTTTTGCTTTCATATAATTGGGTTAAAGTGTTTTCACTTGTTATTAATCGCTTAATTTATGTTTATTACCGCTTTGTTGTTATGTATGTTTTTGGCATAATTATTATGTTTTTCATTAATATTTTTCACTTACTTTATATGAGCCCAAGTCCTGTACAACACATGTTAGGAAAGCCTCTCGACCCACGGAGGCAGTAACATTTGCTATAGGAAATGTAAATTTGGGATCCGCTAAAAGAAAACAACATAATAGACAAAAAAAAAAAAAAACCAAAAATTCAATTTCAATATTGTGAAGAAAAAAAGAGAGAAATGACGGGAGAGAATTTGTTCTACAAAATACCTATAGAAAATGCTTTCTAAATATTATTTATTATTTATTATTTTATAATTTATATTTTTAGTTGACATTAAAAGCAGGAATGACGTTCCGCATCTGTTTAATAATAGCAATGAATATGAATATAGTGTAACCGGGGCTCAAAGGAAAGAATATAAAGTATTCATCCGTTCGTTTTTCTGTTCCTTAACAAAATCATTTTCATCAGCAGCTTAACATTTTATTCAATAATTTATTAATTTCAAATTTTATTAAAGTAAATAAAAATATTTTTTCTCATTTATTTTGCGATTTATAATCAAAATGTCCAGTAAAAAAATAATAATAATAATTGAAATTGTTGTTCATACTTTTGTAGAATAGTTTTAAATAATATTCAATCTTTTATCCTAACTACGACTCTCGACTAGCAACTCAATGGTCGTGGGTTCAAATTTCAAGTGCGGTAGAGTTTTTAATAAAAAAAAACCGAAAGCTTTAGATGCTAGTGCTTTATGACTTTAGTCTTAGAATTTATTTTCTGGCTAAATTTATAATAATAATAATAATAATAATAATACCGTAATTAATACTCGTATTTTCAATACTATGTTGTAAGTAGATATTCCCTACACCGCTTGTAAGAATACAAGAGTACGTTAAGCTTGCGCAGATGTAAAACCCACAGTGACTGATGATAGTCCCACCTTTTACTATACCGACTAATTCAGAATCATTTTTTGAACCGGTTTAGGTGTGTCTCCTCGTCTCTCTGTGCGTTGTGTGCAATCCGCAAGTCGCAATTTTTAAAATATTTCAACAACATTTTTTGCATTTTCATATTTTGCATATTTCAACAAAATTTTTTGCATTGGCGTGTTTTAGCCAAAACATGAAGCTTGTTTATAATGGATAGAATCGGATTGCCACTGCTGCAGTCCGATTCTGTCCGACACTGCGTCCCTTTTTTGAAAAAGTCTTTATATGAAAAGAAAGGAAAGATCGTGGACAAAAAGTTACATATTACTTTCATCTAAAGGCCATGAACGTTCTCTTATTGGAGGACGCCAAAAAGTTCAACTGATGCGACCCAAATTACATTTACTTGTTACTTCTCAACTGTTTTCGTCGTAAAAAACAGCAAATCAGACTTTGTCCTCTTAGAAGGGCTGATTTTCAACGAAACTCCAATTTTATAATGTGATCTCAATAGTAGACCTATGTGAGTGCAATTTTCGCACGACTAATTTTTACGCCGAATAGTTATCAGAGGACAGTTTTCATCACAAAAATTTCAAAATCAAGCTCTTTTGCCAAAGACCTAACTATACATGGGTCCAAGAAATGGACCGATGTGATTCAAATTTGGTTCACTTAACTTTTATGACAGATATATTTCAGGAAAAGTCTGCCCTTATATGGCAAAATTGCCTAATATTAAATGTTTCACGGAAAATTTTAGTCTATAACAGTAATTATGTAAATTTTGGCCCTGTAGACCTATTTTTGTTGCCCACGTTCTATAAGGATTCTCATGAGAAATAAGTTTTTATGAAACGACTACATGATGAATATTAGCCGATAATGGGAATTTGACAGAGAAGTCCATCATAACAAGTTGGCCCTACGTAGGCCTATTCGATGTTATATAAAGGCTGTAAAGTGTACCTTCACAAAGGAACAAGGTACAATTCTTGGTATGCTATCAAGAAAGTAATGATCGGCGTTGCTCGACTATAATTTTTTTAATTTTCGTTTTATATTAAAGCTACAAGAGGCTATATTAACGCCACAAGTGGAATTTACTAAATATGAATAAAGCATGTTATTGGTATTATTCATGGAAAGAGGGAGGTTTTACGAAGCGATAACTTTTTCAGTTTCTATTGTTGAAATATAACATTCCAAGGAGAAAACTGTTTCAAGGTTTTTGACCGAATACACAAGCAAATTATCTCTAAAGCGCTTTTTATTTCCTTCTATCGTAGAAATTTTCACTTCGATTAAAGGGATTTAGACGCTTAGAGCCATTTTGAATTCAAACTGAACTCATACTAGCCCAAAGATCTCCCACGGGACACTCTTAACTAGAGTTTGAACGGAGTTGACTTTCAAGGGCACATAGTTTGCTAATTATTGGTTAGATTCTGTTGTTGTTGTCAGGTACTTCCTTTTGCTTGGTCGGCTAGTTAGAGAGCTAAGTAAGTAAGAGAAATCCTATAGTAAAATTTAAGTACCAGTAGAAGTACAATTGAAAGTCGTGAAATAGATGAACTGAAACCTGAATCTGTTTAGCTTCCAGTTTAATCTTGATGGAAAGTTATCCTTAATAGTAGTAACTGCCTCTGAAAAATGTCTTATTTAATGTCTCTGAAGATGTCCGTGAAATAAGTCTTATTAGGTTTTGAAGAATACATGAAACTGTCTTATTATCATTAAAATATTCCTGGTTTTCGAATACTTTTTGATCAATTGCCACAATATTTTGATCAATTTATATTCTTGCTATTGGCACTTTTGTGGATATATATATATATATATATCTATATTATATAAACTCGAAGAGAACTGTTCCGAATGAGTTGAGTTATATTGAAATAAATGTGCGCACAGTCTGGTCAAATGCATTGCATTGCCATGAATGTGAATTTTGAGCAATGCAAATGTAAAACTCTCAATTTGATAATGGGTGAACGCGTCCTTTAAATCAAACGTTTATTAAGTTTTCTATATTGCCTCCTTTCACGTTAATGGGCTTTTTAATAAACACGTTCGTATAAAGTACGTAAGTTTGGCTTGCATGCAATATATTTTGCATTGTCCACGCGCCACTTTCCAGGCAGAAATGTTCCCAAGTAGTAGAATCTGGAGCTGGTTATTAAACCCCTTGTGGCTGTCGATTATTGATTCGCTGTAACGAGTCAATTGTGAACTTACAACTATCGGCGTAACATGCACTTTTTTTTATGCTACATTAGTTGTGATACGGGCGTTTATTAAGTTTATGGTGATGTATGCAACATCCAACTGGACTTGAGAGGGGACTCATTTGTTGTAAAACCGATCGAATTAGAATCACTTTCTGAATTAATTTAAGCTTGTCTGTCGCTTTATACGTCTATCTGTCGATCTCACCTATTTTCTCATGTTCAATCCACAGGTTGCAATTTCTACAATGTTTTGATCAAATTTGGTATAATGACGAAACGGCCTTATCTTGAGAAGTGGTTACAGGAACTGCTGTAGGGTGATGTACGGTATTGATGGACTGTGGCCTTATTCTTACTATCGGGTGATAAATCTGTCTATTTAAAAATTTCTGTCGAGTAACGTATGCAAAGTACGATCAAGTTTACTCGATGTGGACGGTTATACTGTTAAAATCCAAGCGATTGTATGATCCAGCAAATATAGGCTTGCTTCAATAATTCTTACTCTAAAAACGTCAATTTTGCCTTTATAAGCATCCCCAATGAGCAGGTTGGCCGTCATAATAAAGAAAGATAAAAAGAAGAAGCAAATGTTCTAATCCAAATGTTAACTAATGTTTGCGTCTTGCGGTTAAAAATCGTTACTTAGCTCAGATAGCAATCATTTTTCCACGGAACCTTTTTTGGTTCCGCTTTATTGATGCCGATATCTAATGACTGCTGTCAGAATTATCTTAGATGAAAACTTTCTACTCTAGTACTCTATTATATCCTTTACATTTTTTGTTAGGCCTCGCATTGAAGTGCAAATTGTAGTCCAGTTAGTTGGAGACTTTTGAAATTCTTTTAATTAAATCTTCATTTATGATATCAGCTATTAAATAGGACTTTTATAGACAGTTTACCTAGAACGATGATGCTGTGCAACTTGTGCGGACGTAATAAAAACGAAATTGCTTTGATATAAGGCCGAGAACTTTTTAACTGACGTTGCTGACGTTGGTGATAGGACTTAATAGATCATTATTTACTTTTGCTGTTTATTGTTGTTGTTTTCTTCCCTTCTTCCCTTCTTTTCTCTTTTTTTTTTTTTTTTTTTGTAATTTTCATTAAACTTATTTATGTGTACTTACTTAACACGTCTGCTGCTGTTTCGATGGCATGGAAATTGTACTGACGGCACATTAAAATTAATATGATTAGAAATACGGCCTGCGGTTGTGCTAACAATGGTACGGTTGTTATTTGTGCATTAAAAAGCATATAATAATTTGTTGACATGATTTTCCAATTAACTTATCTGATAAACTTTTATTTTAACTCGATTTTCGCATAACACAGACTTACTTTTGTTTTTATAGTAATTTATTTATTTATTTATTTATTTATTTTTTAATGTTTGTTTTGTAATAATTGTAATTTGTTTGCAAACTTATTTAAAGGAAAAAGAAATCGGATTTCACTTTCATATATACGTAATATATAATTATATATAATTATGTATATATAAATATTTTAATTATATATATACATACATAAGGTATATATGAAATAACAATAGAATTTTATTTTATTTTTTTTTTTTTTTGTAATCATATGACTGCCGGCCATTAAACATGTTTGCATAATAAACAATTTAGCTGTTGACAGCATAATGGTTGATTTGCTCGTTTTATTTGGCATGTATATGTGTTAGTATATATAAATTTTGATATTTAAATTACATATAAAATATTATTACTATTATAACGATTAATATTATTGGATTGATATAATTTTAAGAATGATGATTACACACGAGCGGCCAGGTATTAAAACAATTTATTTTTGCACTGATTTATATTTTAATCATAACATTTAATTCTCTAACGCAGTCGATGTGAAATGCAAATGATTTCATTATTATGTATAGACAGATATTCCAATCGTCATTATTATGTATTCTGGTTAGTTGATAATCTAACGGTGTTAATAATTTGATTTATTTAATACATGTATAATTAAATAAATGTTAATTTATTTTAGATTTTCTTTTTTGATGTTACAAACAGATTAACACTAACTTAATGAAACATAATAAAGGATGCTGTTGAAGATTACGGTTTTTAGGTAAAACTGATGGGAATTTCTAAATGTTTTGCGTAATAATTACTTTTAAGACCAGTAAGAATATTGCAGTAGGACAAGGCTGACTATTAGATATCCTACTTTACTTCGCCTAATATAGTTATTCACTCGTTTTAGTAATAATGCACAACAAGTTACACACTATTCTCATGGCATATCTTTCATGAAAGTCCAAAGAACAGATCCACTTGGGTCCAAATTCGCTAAGGTAGATTTCTATGCCAATTTACTATTATGAACTAATTTTCGCTGTGAAATATTAAAAATTATACCATTTCACTATATAGAGATTCAGTTTATGTGGATCTGTTACATGAGAAGCGTTTCAAAAATTTTACCCAGAGCGAGTTTTGTCGAGAAAGTTTGAAAATTGCAATTTGTTCTCATATAATGACTTTTTAAAACAGGATATTACATGAGAAGTTGTCGAAAACGTAGACCAGACCATACCGTTTTCTTTAGCATTCGTCCTTGAGTTGAACCGTCAGTGTAGCAAATTTCATCATAATGTCTCAAAAACAACTTGTACATAAACATACATTAGACGGGCACGGGGACGGACAGAGAGTCGATATAATAAAAGGTGGGCTAGTTTTAAGCCTTTCTGCGTGTCACATACGTCCGCACAAACTGGTGTAGGATAGCACAACCACCTGTAGCACAAGTAGTGTACGGTGCAAATATTCTGTTATCGGTATTGAGTTTGGTCTTTAATTTCTTTTTTCACTTTCGAGGTATAAAACTACATGTGGTTTACACCTACGTACAGATAAAAGGAAATGTATTAGAAACTAGTTATTAAGAAATTATTTAGGCCACCAAAGAATTCATTTTAAACATCAAGTCAAGTTCTTTTTTACTGATTTATCACTATTTTGATTGGAGTCTGCGTATTAGTTCAACACTATCGGACAGACATGCGGCATATATTCAGCAAATTTTGGCTTAATTTGATCTAAGAACAACTTGTGAATGGTAAAGTCTTTTTTGGGAGTTTGGTCCGATTGTAACGCACTCCAATTATTGTTCTTCAATTCTCTTTAAATCGTTATGAATGTAAGATAATTAAATATTGAAGAAATTTTTAGTTTTTATATTCTTAGTGTAGCACACGAGATTCAAAAAAATACGCAGTCTGTTCACAGAGACAACCACAATGCAGAAGAACCGTATACAACCTCAGAAAACAACAAATTTGTCTTCCATATTTTGTTCTATAATTTTCGTAGCCATGAAAATCTTCGGAAAAATTTGTGAACCAGATTTATATTAGGGTAACGTTCATTTTCAGTCCAAAACAGTTGCGAACGGTTTGCTAAGACATTCAATAGAATTAAAATCTTCTCGTTAATTGTGGACGTATCAGCCAATAGAATTGAGACAATTTTTGCTCTGATCGTCCAAGTGGTTCTGGCGAATATTCAAGGAATCGAAAGTTATGGACAACAATATGAAAACATTGTCTGTGCTTGCCGAGGTGGTTTAACCATCTTCTGCATAATGGGCGTGCTTATCTACAGATAATGCCCACCTTTTAAAGCTCGTATTCTTTATTGGTCAACAAATATTTCTGCCAAATTTCAGTTTTCTATCTCTATTTCTGTGACTGTAACGATTCACAACATTTACCCGCCAAATCGAGGAGTTTTCTAAGGAAAAGTAGAAAGAAAGAGGTACACATATATGATTTCTGCACTATAATATCATTTAAAATCACGATATAACCTCTAAGGACATCAAGTTCCCTGTGCAGAATTTTTAAAGGCAAAAACCCATCAAATTGACGAGTGCCGTAAATCTAGCGTGAAAAGAAAGTTATGTATGCTTTATCCCAGCCACGACTTAATTCTCCGAATATCAATCGTGAGTTCAATCATTTCTAGATCAAGAGGAGGAGAAGAGTGTGTGGTACTGAAAACAAACAATGTTGAGAAAAAACGGATTTTTTTTTGCTTGCTCTCTTTGGAAAATTGGACACTAGTGGAGTACCTCCGCGTTATTATTAGGTTGTACGTCTTGCCATTGGAATAATAATAACGAAACTTTGGGCGCACGATGTGCAAAGTGCATTCTATCCATTTTCAAATTTGATTTGTGGCCGTTACACCTGAACACTAAAGCTTTATTTTTATTTTAAATCTGCAATGGTATAAATTTGAATCATAGAAGCAGTAAATGGAGGATTTAGCCTAAAATGGACCGAGGTTCTTTTTTGATCATATTTATAGATTATAAGTCGTTTGCCACAGAAATATTGCAACACGTTATACCCGCCATGAAAATTGGATTAAGGGGGAAGCGTGCTCATCATCGACGTAGTAAACTTATTGGAAATGTCCCTTAAAGCGTATTGACCATCATTTTTCTGTTCAAAAAAACCAAGACGTAAAATTTCACTCTTCACGCGCAGATATACTAACGCATTGAGCAATTAAATGGGTTACCTTGGAGATTCGAACATCACCGAAAGCTGTTGTATTTAATTCGAAATGGCTAAGCAGTCTTTTTATGAAAACTTAATATCTTCGCTTCTCCTACGAACCCGTTTGATCGTCGTTAACCGTGATCTTTGCAAACATGCAAACTATCTACGAATCCATGTTCTCCGAAACGTTAAATCAAAATGAAACTAATTATTACATCAGAATGTACAAATTTGGCCCGAATGTGACTGCGAACCTTTCCTTATGCTATAACAAGTGAACTCTACTTTTAGTAAGACGATCACAAGAAACGTTCACATTAATCTTATTTTCATTTAAAATATCGGGTATGGGAATTGCTTTGCGGCCTATCCTCTACTTATAAGGAATCAGAAAGATAATTTCTTTATAATTTAATTAGTGATTGACTAGATTTAGATCGACAAAACTATTTATACTGAGCATAGTTTATAACATTTTTGACGCTTTCTTCTTCGAAATCTTTGACGTAAGAAGGGGGAAAAGAATACATAAGATAGTTGAAAACTTTAATTATTTTTTGCATGAAAGACGGGCAGGTTTTAATTTAATCGGCAGGTCAACAATGGAATATTCGTCGTTAATGAACGAAGACATCCTTTAAAAAAATGTTTGTACTTGACATAAAAATTGGGAGGAAGTTGGTGTTGAATACAG